TTGATTTTAATACCACTTGGAATGTTGTCGTTGTCTTGGAATCTGTCAGCAGTGCACAACAGCGGTGTTGAGTCAACGGGAGGTAAAGGGGGGACGGGGGTGGGGGGAGTGTGAAAGGAACTCATGAATTTTACACCGAACGCGCATGCTCCATCTGCGATAGGTCTTAAGTGACATCACTTTGTATTTCTCGCACATAGTTGCAATGGATGGCGCGAGTCATGTGTGTGACTGTGGGCGGCCTTTAATGTCATTACGGAACATGAACTCACACCGAGCGCGGGCATGTCCATGCGCTGTGGAAGACGGGAGCACGACACAAGAGATAGTTGGGGACGTTATCGGTGGACCATCAAATAGTGGTCCCATTAATCTGGTCAGTGGGGAAAGCGAGGAGGTTGAGCCCCCTCCCGATGTAGAAGCAGACTGCGTATCCGAAGAACAGCAAGAACAACACACAGAGGCATTCGACAGCTCCCGCAAACTTGCGACATTAATTTTCTCATGTAGGGGCAGTGTGAGCATGTTCCAAACTGACGTTGACTGTCTGTTGTCACTCCTCAAGAATCATAGATCCGACCCAAGAAATATCGCATTTCATAACAGTCGTGAGTGTCTGACATGGGCAAGCCGCCAGGCAGAGGCTGGAGGGTGGCAAGAGAACAATCTACGCAGTGATGATTGGCCAGAAGAAGCGCACGCCATTTTGTGGTACCGCGACTGACGCACAACGTTCGTTGACCTTGTATGTGCTGCACTGCACAACGTTGAAACGGTTTCTTGCCTCGAAATAGAACCTCCCGGGGAGGGGATCAACATATGTGGCTCTCGCACGGGTCAGTTGAGTCACCATGTCCAAACTGTTATCAGAGCGGACAAGGGTGTGAACACGAATGGTAAAATACGTTATGTCATCCATCTGTCTCTGTATTCAGACAAGACTCATGTAGACGGTTGTCAAAAGCAGTCAGTGTATCCTCTGATGATGTCAGTAGCCGATCGCGCATCGGACGCCACACTCCTTGCGTATCTGCCTTTGCTTCAACACCGACCAAGTGACAAGGGCTGGGGTCTGCACTCCACCGCGTTTAGAAAACGGAAAGCTGTGATATTGCATAAAGCGTTGTCAATAGTATTGCGGTCCGCAAAGGAGGCATCCCATGACGGCATGATAGTTACAACGGAGCGGTTCGGCGAGATAACAGTCCACCCTTTCGTCATGAACTATATACAKGACTATCCTAAAAGGTGTGCCCTTGCAACTGTGAAATTCGGTGTTTGTCCAACATGCACAGTGTCCAAAGACGATTTCGATGTCATCGCCGATTTCGCCAACTACAGGAGATCGCAGACGCTAGACACGCAACTTGCTGCGAACTGCTTCAACAATGGGGACAACGATATTCGCCGTGCCGCAGAGGCACGAATGTCAGAATTGAACATGCATAAGCATGTTCAAGAGAACGGCCTTTGGGGATTCTACAGGGGCCACATGGTGACGATCCTCAACTAGATTACCATCTCGCTTTGCAACCGGACCATATGCACACGATTGAACACGACATTTTCTTGCATATGATAGATGCATTCAAGGCAACAACTTATAAGAAGTTGCCGGATATCGCGCAAAGCGAGATATTGCACGAGATGGATGCGAGGTTGCAGAGCATCAGTGAGAGATGTGTGAGGACATACCCGCAGCTCGTATTGCCCGTGGCCACAGGTTGTGATTTCTTTTCAAGGGAAGGACGATTTGAAGCGAAGCAAAATCGGTCTGTTATGACAGTTTGCGTGTTTATTATTTGTGATATCATCCCGCGTGCGACAGACAAATTCATTTCCGCTTGTTTCATCAAACTCATGGAAATGTACATACACGTGTTTCGTAAGTCGACCTACACTGCGACTTCTCTCGATGTATGTGACACATTGATAGGTGATTTCATAACGAGTATAAAAATGAAGATGGGAAAATATCAAACCTCGAATTGAAAAATTCCGAAGTTGCACGACCTTATGCATCTGAGAACATGCATAGAGCGATCCGGTGTTCCGACACCTTTGCAGCTGATGTGTGGAAGCATCATCATCAGAGGTTCTGCAAACAACCATATCTCGCCATGAACAAGCGCAAGGCTACTTCCCAGATGGTGAACCATATTCGACGCTCATTGGCTTTGCAGGATGAGATGGAGATTGTGAGAAAACGAAGAAAGAGGTCGGCAGAAAATTGGTCATCCGTGACAGACTGCATGGCCACCGGAATTAATACCCTCGCAGCGCGCGACACATCAACTCTACAACTCCGGTGGTTCCAGATGGACGGTGTGCATTTGTCGGAGGTGGAGGGTATAAGCAACGCGGCGTTGAGAATACTTAACGAGCTTCCCTGCAGAGAGGATTTTCGAGCTGCGCTCACGACGTTCATGAGCGAGAACGACTGTCAACCTCCATTTGATGACCAAGTGATACACACTCGAACACACTTGACCATCGCCTGCACATACATCGAGATGCACAGGGGCACATACGTTCAAACGGCAAGAGCTTCACCACAGTTCCACGGGAGAGCCCACAACGATGTTGCAGTGAGAGGTGGGAATGACAACATATGGTATGCATCATTAGCCATGTTTTTCGTCATGAACACTTGCACAGGGGGTGTTGCAGAGATGCACATGTGTTGTTTTGCGCAATGGTACAAAGAGGTGGATAGCAAAAGGGAACACACAACAGGTTGTAAGAAGTTGCAATGGGAGAAGGTAAACGGTCATCAGCACAGTAGCGTCATAACGATTGACACCATCATCGAGACCGTTCACATTGTTCCTCGTTTTTTTTAAACCATAGTGGAGCTCGAAGAAGAATGCAAAAGAGAGCGAGGACAATTTTTTGTTGAACAGATATATAGTCTAGAAGTGTACATGGAATTAGAGAGAAAAAAAAAAAACCAAAATTTTAAAGGTTGAACGTTTTTTCGAGAATAATCTGTGGTGGGCGCAGTCGCAATTTTATAGTACATCATCAGTTCAACTTTTGTATTTTTTTTACAGAGAGAGAGAGAGAGAGAGAGAGAGAGAGAGAGAGAGAGAGAGAGAGAGAGAAGCGTTTGAACGACAATAGTAATTTTGTAAAGATGGAGTTCAAATATCGGTAGATTTTTAAAGCGGCGAGACTGTATTTCAGACCGGCACGATCGTGCGAGATGGAACAACACGGTTGTCAAACTGTTTTTTTCGCACGGACAAGGTTGTGTTACAGCGTTGCATAGCTTTTATGTCATCTTACACAACAATGCAGACAAAGGTACATCAAAGCAGTGTGTATGACGAAGGTAACTTCAGAGTTGACTACTACGTGCACATGTATGGTGAACGTGGACTTAAGAAGTGGCAGGTGGCACGCACTAGCCAACCTATGTCTATACTTGCATGCGATAAAAGGTCATGACGTCACAGGAAACCGTTATTCTGGCTCGCAGTACTCTCTCTCTCTCTCTCTCTCTCACTCACACACACATACACACACACACATTGTCGAAAGACTTACCACTAAAGCCGAGTAATTTGACAAGATGTGCTTCATGGCCATGTGACTGCCATGTGGACAGGAAATGTTGAGGTCGAGGTAACGCCAGAACGACAGTCTGCAGTGGGAGAAGTGGCAAGACAGCAAGCGAAAAAAAAAAAAACATTTTCAGGAATTGTGGAGAAGCCGATTTAGACTGACACTGCAACCTTTGTCCATCAGCCGTGACATCTGTTGTATGACAGAGAATGAGGGGTGTTCAGATGAGCGAATCTTACAAAATGAACGAGGGGGTAGATGCCAAGGGTTGTATCAGGGGCTCAAAAGCGACGGACAGTTCAGAAACAGCAAGGAATGACGAACAGTCATGTGGACCAAGTGTCACCGAACCGTTGCTCCTATTGAGCAGCGAGAGATTAGTGAAGTGATGGAAGAGGATACTGGAGGACCCGTGATATGCGAAAATGTACCAGATGATGACCACAAATGACGTCCAATATCCTCAGATGGTGCATGAACCTTTGTTCAGTATTGTAGGGGGCAATCGGTCGAGAGGTATGGCTGCAGAGGCTGGAAAGAGGCCTTAGAGGGTGGACGAAGAACATTTGTTCCCGTTCACGTGGAAATCAAGAAGATACGCCATAGCGATAACGAAACGGGATGTATTGCGATTGGGTGCGAAGCAGTGGCTGAACGACGACGTGATCGATATGTACTTACAATCCGTCTATGAAGAACATTTCCCTGCAGAGGACAACACGACACTTCATGTTTGCACAACTTTCTGGCATCCTGCAGTCATCGTCAATCAAAAGGTTTATGTCGCGAAAGCAGGATGGCGGGCGCGGATCAAGAGTAGACCTGCAAAGTTGCGTCGAATAAGCAATGAACTGCGAACGACAACTGTTGTTCTCATCCCTGTGAATCACAAAAACCATTGAAAATTGTTCTTGTTACTGAATGTCGGTCGGTTTTTGGCAGTCACGGAGGACAATGATGGGCAGAAACGACCTGTTGCGATCGTCATGGATTCCTTTCAACAGAGCGGCCGACAGGAATGGAAAGCGTTGCGCATATTTTTGTGGTATGAATACCTCAACGAGGCAAACAAAGCAGGGGTGTTGACTCCCGAGAACGTGGACACGTCGTGGGTGACATGCAAAGATCTACTTGGATCTAAAATAGTATATGCGGAATGTTCGCAACAGACCAATACGTCGGACTGTGGTGTTTACGTTTGTTGCTTGGCAACTGAATTGATGCGAAAGCTAGCAAACGTGACTGAGAGAACGAACATAACTGCAAAATATATAACAGAAGTTGTTACCGCGATGGAGGTCAACGAACGAACAGTCGAGAGATTTCGTCAGTCAATGGTACAACACTTTGCGCAGTGTGTTGCAATGGCAAAAGGATATAACACCGCAGCAGCGTGTGACATAGAAAATGTCTTCAGAGATCTCATAGACGGAACACGGAGTGGAACTTCGTAATTACAAGGGCATGATAGATACCCGGTATTGAAACACGAAGTTGACAACCGCGTGCAATTATACAAAACTCATATGTCGTAAAGAAGCCAATCGGCACGCAGTAGCCAACTTGCGCAAGTTACTTGATGAATGAATGCGTGATGTATCATAGAAAAAAAATGTCGTCTTTCATGTCACATCGACTGACTCTCTCTCTCTCTCTCCGCGTGTGAAAATCTCGCGTACGGTGGCGGATGACAAATGGTCGTTGCATGTGCCAAAATCATTCCATGTCTAACGTGAGTGTTTGTGAATTCGTGCATGTCAGAAGCTTTTCATAAGGCTGAAGAGAATGGCTCCGAAGCCCAGGTACGAGGATCTGTGCAAGTCCTTGAAGTCCACAGGGAGGAGAGAGAAGGGGGAGAGGGCAGCAAAGGAAGAGAAGAAGACAATTAAGCAAGGACATAGCATAAGGGATATTCCCCAATTCAAGAGACAGGAGACGAACACAGGCCGCAGGACAGAAGCAGTGCACTCTGTCCCGCCGCGGAAAAAGCAGAGGGGGAAACTGTTTGAACATAACAAATCACCTGTCGTGAGTCCCCCACGGCAGAAGAGACACGGCGATAGTGAGAGGCAGCCCCCAAGAGCGCCAGAGAAGAAAAAACGAGAAAAAGAAGCACAACTGCAACAACAGAGGACAAAGAAGATAATAATTTACAGAAAAGATAGGACTCCTGAAGCAATCGACCTCAGAGGGTCAACGATTTATGAACCACCGCTCAGGAGGAAGACAAACAAGAAGACTCCGACGAAGAAATGTCAGAAGAAGTAGAACATGAGAGAATGCAAGAACGAGGAGAAGGTGACGACAGTGACGCTGACCATGATGTCGATGCAGAGGAGAGCAATCCGGAGGGAGATAACACCGGCGACAACACGGACAGATCCGAGGAGGGCGAAGAGGAAGAGGAAGGCAACAGTGAAGACGAAGAAAGAGAGATTACATCTGCTGAAAAACAGTGCAAAATGTGGAACTGAAGAAAAAAAGGCAGGCGCACTAGAGACTTCATCGAATGACAAACAAATTGTGTAGAGGGAGAATGTACCGCTACAGGGTAAGATGAAGGGCGCCTTATAAAGACACCACTATGTCTGCTCAACACAGTCGTTTTCAGTGTTGTAGAAACGACCAGGTTCACTGAGCGGAGGGGAGGGGGGGGGGGGGGGGAAGGGGAGGGGGCCGGGGGCGAGGGGTTGGGGGTTGTAGGGGGTTACGAAGTGTGTCCGGGGGTGGATCGGGGAGGGGGAGTGGCAGTCTTATGTTTGTTTCTGAATGCAATACATAAAACGCATATCGCGGAGGGTCTTCTTATTACTAAATAATCAATCTGTTGGTCTGCTTTTTTTTCCCCCCCAGATTGCACTAATTTGCAAAGACGAAGCAGCATAGGTGGAGGTAATGCTGGCGAACCAACAGAGCTACAAACCGGGGGTTTAACAAAGAAAATGAAAGATAGACTGTTTCGTTCAGTGACGAAGGCCTTTGCTTTTTCCGCAGCAAAGGATGCGACGCTATACCCATCGGAGGACAATTTTTTCACGGCACTGCAAACAACTGCCAAATTGATAGGAGAACATGCGGAGGAATGACTACGGTTGCACGTGGCAGCGAACGGAATCCGAGCTATGATCGGGGAATGCAATCCGATTATGACAACGGTCCGATGCGAGATATCATGGCAATTGAAACATTGGTTTTGGGCCGAAAAAGGTCTGCCGCTGGTCCGGTCAGCTCAAACGGATCACCAGCTCCCGACTCGCAACAGGATGCGGGCAGAGATGAAGGGGAACACAACATGGAGAAGGAGCGGCAATGATCCGTGGGGCGCTCCTCCTTTCAAGACAAAACTGACAAAAGTTTTTCAAATGAGAAGAAATGGAATTAACCTTGGCGTAACGTTGCAGCAACTAGCATTTGCGGAGCTGGTACTCAAAAGTGAAGTTGAGCAGACGGCAAAGACCAGTAAAGCAGCGGACCAAATACAGAAATTAGCAGCTATCAAAAAAGAGATCGCTGCATCGGTCCGCTCCCGAGATACAGTCTTAAGCTTTTCTATCTTCAAGCTCGACTGTGCTGTTTCTGTTGCAGACAAGGCCGTCGCATTGTACAGAGCTGGTTTGCCTGCTGTGCAGAGGGAAAACGTCAATAACATGACTACAACAGATGATGATTTTGACCTTGAACTTTGTGCACACCGTGGACAAATGTGCGGGCAGAGAGAGAGACGAAGAAAGTTTGTGCGCAAGACCGTGAAAAGGAGAAGAAGGGGTCTGGAAGTGGATCGAAGGGGTTTGGGGATGGAACTATGCCAGGGTGGGAAGGGAGGTGGGCAATGGTGTTGGAGGGGACATGAGCTGCACCTCCACTGACAGTCAGTGCCATGACACACAACCAATGAGGATCAAAGTATAAAGAGAGAGAGAGAGAGAGAGAGAGAGAGAGAGAGAGAGAGAGAGAGAGAGAGAGAGAGAGAGAGAGAGAGAGAGAGAGAGAGAGAGAGAGAGTTATTATTTGGAAAAAAAAGACTCTTGAGAACCCTTTGGGTTCAGTGTACAATAAGCAAACATGCGTTATTTAATAAATGGTTTTGTACATGACGTCGTCGTGAATGTGTTTCGACCATCACGTAGCATTTGCGTTTCGCATCTCACATTACTCACTATCAATTTATTGTACACATTGTTGCTTGTCTTGCGAGGATACGCAATGGGTCATGTGTAATGTGGGCCAAAATATGTCAACGTATGATTTTGCAAGAACATGAATCATGTTAGATAAAAATGAGCAGAAAACGGATTACGCACTTCCAAATATGTTGAATATAATGTCATAAAGCAGTATTGGGCAGACACTAGAAAACATGTTCATTTTAATGTAGGGCGATAAGTACATGACTGGTTGACTACTGCGTGCCATGTTCTTGTCATGCATGGGCATGATGCTGGAAATTGACACCCGGTAGCCAACCATCGGGCATTTCGTTCACATGCATCGGACATTTGCCTATTGCGCTGCATTCAAGGTTCACAGGAGCTACATATGGTAAGATGAAGGTGATAAATAGCAACATGGCCAGTTCTCTGACATCATCAATTTGAGAGGGAAGATGACTCTCTCTCTCTCTCTCTCTCTCTCTCTCTCAAATTTCAAATATTCCCAACAATATCTGAAATGTTCAACAGTTGATCAACAACTTTTCAACAACATTTCAACAACTTGTCAACAACTTTTCAACAGCTTTTCAACAACTGAACAAGTGTTGAACACAGTGTCGCATGTTTATGAGATATGTTATCAACGTTGAGTTCCTTCACTTTTGGTGGAACACATGACACTACCCCCGTCAAACTGTTTATGAACACGAAACCAACAGTTTAAAAGGGGGGCCCACATTTGATAAACCGCCAAAAAAAATGCCCACAATTTTTCTGTTGCAAGAAACCTCCAAAAATAACATGCCACAAGCCAACAAAGCCAAACAAACCGAAAAAAGAACAAATCCTACAGAAACCGCACTACAAACTACAACTTGACCTACTGTACTAATCTACTTGTGCACTACCCGTATTGTGACAAAGGTTGTCTACAACGACAACAGTTCTCCCTCCGCTATCCTTCCCTTCTACCTTCCCCCTGCGAAAAATCGAACCGAGTACCCAGGTTCCGCTTCAATTTTTACTCAGCCCAGAACCAGCTGTTCAGAACCAGTTTACCAACCTCCAATTTTTCGAACTTGCCTTCCAGACCCCATGTTTCTTCGAACCAAACACCCTGGCTTCGTTTCCCCTTTCTGTGCCAATCAGCATGGATAAGCCTCCTTAATGATGAGCGGAATGTGGTTCTAATTTCCTTATTGGACATTTCCTTACCCTCAAAGACCTGCATGTTTCTCCCTTTCCATATCACCGAGCAGCCTATTGCTCTAGCTACTTGCGCCATATATCCCCAACCTTTCTTGGTATCACTACCTTCAGGAGCAACTCCAAGTAGAACCCATTCCCTGTTCCAGTCGAACTTGTTCCCAGTAAGGATTTCTCATTGATTCGCCTACCATCTTCAGATTCTAGCGGAGGCAGGGCAGTCGTACCATAAATGCAGGGTGGATTCAAATGCCCAATTACACCTTTTGCATTGCATTTCCACTTTTAAGCCACGTTGGGCCAAATTCGTTGCCGAAGGAGTCGCCAAGAGCGAGAGCAGCCACAGGTTCACTGCCAGTCTGGGCCAAGGGGCCGATTCCAGCTGTTCCCAACAGCGCTTAATTGCTTGTTTTATATTGTAAGGCTCCAATTCAACCACCTGTCTCCATCGGGCTACCGCAACTTCTATTGGAGTCCTGCTTGGAATTTGATTCGCATAACCCACATCCGTGTTGTAAGATGATAGCGGGAGGATCTCTCCCCCTTGCCCCAATCCTCTCCAACCGCAGCTTTTGGGATCAACCCTCAGTTCTGACAGGGGTGTACCCTGTGCAAAAGCCACACATGACCTGTTGCCATCGTCGTCGCAATTTTCCCAGACCCTGGTTCGCATCAATTGGATTCCTAATGGAGGTTGACAATCCTCCTCCTCTTCTTGGACTAGCACTGCTGGTCGATCATTGCTTAAGCCTGACCAGCATTGAAACTTCCGTTTCCCTAGTGGGTCGATTTCTAGGAGCTTCCTGAACTGCAACGGAATTCCTGGTTGTCTTGTAATATACCACGTGCCCGGAGGGTCCAGTCCTTCTGGGCACAAAACAGAAATCCATGATGGTGGAACAACATCCAAGATTTCCACCAGCCTTTCCTCTACATACCAGTAAGCTCCCAGTTGGGCCCTCAACTCTGCTGGGGTGATCCAATGTCCTTCCAGTTCATTCCACATGTCTGACAGCCTGACAAATCCCTTCTCAATCCAACTGCGACCGAAGCTATTTCTGGCGTTGTTTGTGGTGAACCAAGAGTCGTCCGTTTTGCGCAGAAGTGGATTTTCAAAGATGGACTGATGCAATACCTCTGCTTTGGAGGTGGGCTGTTGGCAGGAGTTGGGAGCCAATAACTTCCATGCAGTAATAATGGCTCCCCAAAACTCCGACTTAACTCGCCTATTCTGATAAGACGGAATGAGGAGACAGGACCAAACATCAGAAGATCTGGTAAGGTTCCATTCGATGGCCAAAATTTGTTCGGCCAGGGATATCCAGTGTAGAGTATCCGGGGAACACATTGCTCTAATCAGCCAACGGACCAACATTGCCTTACTCTTACGAAGTGGGTCAACAATTGCCAAACCGCCTTCCTTTTTTGGGAATGTGAGTAAATCCCAGGCTACTTTGATGAAGGTCCCCTTTTGCTCATCTGCGAAGGGGTTCCAGATAATTTTCACAGCTCTGTTGTTTATCAGAGTACATAGGGGGTTCCCCAAAGGTCTGACTGGTGCAGCGTACCACAACAAGGCTAACAACGCACCATTAACGACCAATGCTCTTCCGTACAGAGATAAGTGGGGAGCTCTCTCCCATAGAGATGCTCTCTGTTGGACTTTCTGAATAAAAATTCCATCTTGATCTACTGTGCACGAAAGTAGGGAGACTTGTACTCCCAAGAACCGTTCCGAGGAACTATCCTGGATGTGTTTCATTCCCCAACTAGTCGTAGGTGTAAAGGAGCTAGGCAGAAAGAATACAGACTTGGCCCCGTTAACCGATGCTTCTGAAAGTTCAGAGTATTCATCCAGACACAGTTTTAACGCAGTCATAGAGCTCGGTGAGTTTTGAGAGATAGCAAAGAAATCATCGGCCAATGCTTTAACTTTGCATGGCGTTTTACCTGCCAGGAGACCGCGAATAGCAGGGTGAGCTCGAATATTGCACAGGAGGTTCTCCATTCGTAGTACAAAGAGAAGAGGGACTAAGGGACAGCCCTGCCTTAAGGATCTGGAAAGATTAAATGGCTGAGAGAGATTACCATTTACCATCACAGCAGCTGTTGAAAGAAAATACAGTGCAGTAACCCAATTGCATAGGTTATCTCCAAATCCCAGATAACGAAGAGTAGTTAGGATATATGTCTACTTAACCCTATCGTAAGCTTTTTTCAGGTCCAGCATCAGGACCATAAGGTTATGATTCGTGGACTGCACTAGCTCCAAGGCTTCTATTGCAGTGACTATATTGTCAAAGATAGATCTATCTTTGACAAACGTCCCTTGATCTCCTTGGATTAAACTTGGGAGATATCGATTTAACCGTCTGGCTAGTATCTTGGCTAGGAGTTTGCAGGAGACGTTCGATATAGATATTGGTCGCCAGTTACGAATCTCTGAACGATCGCCCTTCTTATATAATAGAGAAATAATACCATTTCGCATACCTCTAGAGAGGTTTCCTCCTAGCAGAACGTCATTGTAGATGCTAACCAGATCATCTTTAATTACCTCCCAAATGGAACGGTAAAGTTCCACTGGTAAACCGTCATCTCCTGGGCTTTACTATTTGCCATGGAGCACAGTGCCGCTTGGGCTTCTTCTGTTGTTACTGGGCGATCCATGTCCAGTCTACCCTGTTCAGTTAGTGTTGCCTGAAAGGCCGACCAATGTGAGTTCCCCTCAGAAAGGTCCGTAGAAATATCTTCCCCCGGCCTTCTTGCCATTAGGATATTGTGATAGTATAGCGAGGCGTACTGGCAAAGGTCCATCTGATCCTTTGCCCGAGGGAGATCTCGGTCGAATGGGTGCATGAGTTCCCCCATTGGCTGGGTCTGTCTCTGAGGCAACAATCGTTGAAAAGATTATCGGGTCATTCGGTCATACACTACGATTCCCTTTATCTTCAGCTGCTTCGCCCATCGATATGACTGGGCCTGTTGTAAATTATCCCATTCAGCCATAAACTTTTTTCTGATAGGACTCCAAACCAGATTTGAGATAGGGTGATGACTCATCCTGAACTCCGCATAGCTAATCTTTTTTTTTAGGCACGTTTCTTGGTTCTTCCTATTAGCTGCTAGAATTCGAGAGAAGATGCTCAGATGTTTGGAGAATACTCGGGATCCCACGTCCCACCAATCTGCTTTGGACTCGAAAGAAGATTGGTTATTTTTCCAGTCCTCCCAAAATCTACGCATCCAGTCTTGAATACCGGGATCCTCAAGGATAACTGTATTTACCCGAAAGTATCCCGGACCCCTTTCTGGCTTTGCAGAGTTGAAGGAAGCTGGTTTGTGATCCGAGAGCGGCTGAAATACTTCTTCAACTCTTATGATAGCATTCCATACTTCGGGAGAGATCAGGAAATAATCGAGTATGCGACTAACAAAGCCTATACCCTCCCGATTGTTGGAGACCCAAGTGTAACCACACTCCCCAGGATGCATCAGACGGTATGGATCCACCAACTCCAGATCAGCCATCAACTCTGTCAGTATTTTGAGATCCCCACTGGTCCTTGCTCCCTCTACTTTATCCAAGGAAACATTCCGATCTCCTACTATTACAAGATTCTCTCCATCTGGGATAAATAAAGGGAGATCATCAATGAATTCCGATCTTTCCTTCCTATCAGTGGGAGCATAAATCAAGGCTATGATCCATTCCTGCCCTTCAATCCATAACTTCAACCAGACCCAACGACCCCAGAGATCAGTATAGAAATCGACGATCTTAGCTTGGAGGCTTCTGTGGATCAGGATGGCTACCCCTCCTCTAGTTCCCCTGGTTGGGGACCAGATTTGAGGGCCATCCCACCATCCTCCTAATTCGTTGATTTTATCCTCCGATAATTTCGTTTCTTGGAAACAAACTATATCTAGCTTGAGATCGTGCATCCAACTTTTAACCCTACTGCGTTTGTTCCTCCCTGAGGTATCTCCTAAACCCCGTATGTTCCAGGATGCGATACTAAGTCTGCCCATTAGCCACAGTCGCCCCTGGATATGGTTGGATACCGGCGGAGAGAGAAGATAGACCTGGTGGTGCTGGCTCAGAAGGCCAGTTGGCAGTCAAAGCCTGTTTGACGAAGGCCGAATCCAATTTCTTATCTCTTTGCAGCTTGCCGTTGAGCTCAAACAGGAATTTGGCGGTCAACGAAGAGAAAATGTGGATGTGGCGGAGTTCTGGTTTCCGCACTTCCAAAAACCATAGGAAAAAAATTAGTCGGAGGCCATCTGCTTCCAACCGTTCAAGAGACCCGGGTGCAAAACGACCATCAAATAACGGGACAAAAACTTTTACTCGGTTTCTAGAGACATCGATAACGAATCGAGGCATGGATACATCCGCAATTATGTGGAGTGCAAACTTATTTTGGAACATGTTACGCACGATGGTTTCAGATGCATGCGGCATAGGACACTCAGGGACCGAAGAACATAACAAATTTGGAGAGCCATCAGCACTTGCCCACACAACCACCCAGAAAGCATTCTGAACGTAAACACCTACTAAGGGGAGCAACTTCGACTCCACCACTGCTTGACCCTTCGATAGGGCGTTCATTCGGGAGCGAGTCAATTTTCGCTTACCTACCTTGGGAATGCCGGTCGACGGATCTACTGACCTGAATGAGTGAAACAAAACTTCACTTGAGGAACCAAGTTCCTCTCCACGAGGGTTGTCCATTTCTATGTCAATATCCCCACCATCGCTGACCCTACGCTGTTTCCCAGGTGACTCGCCTCGAGTCCGAGATGAACCTGGTCTCGGTGCACCCCCACGAGGAAGGGGGGTTGAAAAGGGTTGAACTTGCTGACCTTGAGCGCTGGCCATCTGCGGCTGTTGGTTGCCTGGATTGCCTGGCATCCACGGAGTAAAGGAGTGCATGTTGACAAAGGATGGGCTCCCGGTTAGATGTTGACCAATCGGTGGCTGCAACTGTTGCTCCACGAAAGGATGTGCTGGAATTTCTTGAAGGAATGCCGCCCAAGATGCATGTGTCCAAGGGTTCATTGTAGGTATCACAGTTGGCTGGACAGCTCCTCCGCCTCCTGTCGTTGGGACAGGTCCCGGAGAAAAGGTTGGATTCATACGGACGGAGCCTCCGCCGCCCAGTTGTGTAGTTGCTATTGCCGCCATTGTAACATTTGTTGAAGCCACATGTTGCTGAATCCCCACGCCGGGGTGTTGAAGAGGTCCGGAGTACGATTGACGTCTTCCTCCTCCGTTGCCAGAGCCAGGTCCCGAGGGACCTCGAGGGGAATTTGTCAGATTTTCCCCTCGTCCTCTTCGATTTTGTCTTCTGCACGTATCTTCCGTATGGAAGAAAGTGCGGCATCTTCGACACCAATCGGATTCCGCCGAAGCCAGCCGAACTTCCAGAACATCGCCTTGACGAGTTCGCACCGCAATTTTGTCCTTCATGTTGTCTTTCTTTGTTGGATCAACATCAAATCTTAATTATCGCTTGCATCCGCTTCCGGGAGGTGTGCCTTAATTATCTTCCCAATAGCGCGTTCCACATGAACGTGGATGAACAACATTTCATCCAACGGTACCCCGACTGCAACCACCCAAAAGACATTCAGGTCCACCAGCTTCCTGCAATCCCGTACTTCAGCTCGAGTCATCCACGGCTTGAACTCCGTACGATAAGTGACGTTTGCTAAGTCGATAAAGTCGCTACTCTTTGCCAGCATCCAGTTGGTTATCGCTTGTGCTCTTGGGATATACGAGACGACGTTAGGGCTCTCCACTTTGATGCGCCCACGTCTGAACTCCGGACTGAAAGTATCTTCGCTAATCCAGATGTCCTCGTAAGCTCTGATCACGTCCTCCTTGACTCTTTTCGGAAGGAAACGAGCCCCATCCCGAAAGATGACTGTTACCGTTCTTCCTTTTAGCCACTTGACTTTAACCTCATCCAAGGATCTGTTCAAGATGAACTTGACTTCCCTCCCATTCACTTCCATTTCTCCTGGATCTATGTTTGTTGACAATATACCTTCCTCATAGCACGCTCTCACCTTCTCTTGAATTCTGTCTTCCTCCATCTGGTACTCGTTTGGGACTTGGGATCTTGCATCTCTGCCGATCTGTCCACCTGATTCTGCTTCCATCGGGCCTTGCGGTTCTAACTCCTCTTCTTCGCTACTGTTGCCGATACTGCTTTAGTACTGAGACGGTGGGGCGACGGAGACGATATTATGCTGGTTGCTGGTATCCTCGGCTATGGTTCTTCAACCCTAGCTCCTTCGTCAACGCGAAGGTATGAGATGCCACCTACGGGGCGCTTCTCGCGATGAGAGGCCGCCGCCAACCAGGCCTTTCGGAAAGCAGCGCTAGGACCGAGCGCTTAGCCAGCCGTAGCACTCCGTGAACCGCCGCCCCCCATCTTAGTAGAGGTCTCGTTTCATTACTCCGTCCCCCGAATTTCCAACGTCGGGTAGAGTGGTGGTTTGAATTCGAAGCCTGTTGTGGTCGAAATCGAAACAGGCCAAAAGCAGCGGCGACCACTCCCGTTCCCTCTGCGTTCACAAAGTGATAGTCTCCTTGTGTGCGCCGGGAGCGTGGTGCCTTATCAATCGAGGCGTTTTGACAAAGTGGCGCCGCGCCTGATTTCTCTCTCTCTCTCTCTCTCTCTCTCACACACACACAAACACACACACACACACAAACACACACACACACACACACACACACACACACACACACACACACACACACACACACACGTCCACAACAACATCAACAAACAAACTATGGGCTGCGCACCCGTTGTCGGCGAGAATACCTTTACAAGGGTATCCGCCCTGGTTTTTGCAAGTGACAGAAAATAGTTTGGTTTAAAGTTTAAGTATACCGCGCTAGGCGCGGCTGCGTCTGTAATTGCGTTGATTGGGTGGTTGACCACAATAGAGAGTGCGTAGGGGCGCAGGTTAAAGGCGCTCGTGATTCTTTTCTGTTGTTGATCATAAAACTGGCTCGGCCGTCGGTCGCCTTGGTTAATGATATTACTAACTTTTATTTATTTCTGATTAAGCAGGATTTAGGGATATTTTCTTTTTGATTGCTATGTTTGACCAAAACCTGTGCGCGTGCGGAGGACGACCTCGACGACGACATCGACAGCGACGGCGCGACTTCGTGCGGGGAACGGGGTGTCGTAGGATGGCGCGCAGGGCAATTATGGCACGGTGTAAGCAAGCCGGCGCGGGCACTGGGAGCCGCGCAGCCGGTTTGTTGGCCCAAAGCGCCGCGCCGCACTGCCTTGTATGGTGCCCTGCGGGCACTGGTCTCTGGCTTGGGCATAGCCTTATAGGTTACGGCAGCGGACTATTACTATGGAGGTTCGGGGATCGAGGCCAGCGGGCGTCAGCGAGGCAACTGTAGCGGAGCAGCGCGAAGCAAAACCTGAGGGGTTGAGGGCTCGACGGGGCTATCCCTCCTCGGTTGTGTTAGTAGACGTGGTAGCAGGCACGATCCGCGGGGGAGGTGAGGTTTTTGTAATTCCTCTCCCTTTTTCCTGGTTTCTTTTATTTATTCCTTGTTTCTCGAACGCCTCTTGTTATTTTTCCTCCTGTTCGCCTCCCGTTTCGGACGCAATACCGGGGTTGATGTAGGGTCGCATGGGATGGGTTGTACCCGCAGGGCTGCCTGAAGTGCAGTGACAAACTGTTTTGGTGGCTGTGCCGGGGCCGCGCCCCGTTTGCCTTGAGACAGGGTGCCATGGGTGAGACGCGGGGCCGTGGTTATTTCCAGGGCCTAAGGGCCGAGCTCAGTGGGCATACCTACTATGGGGTGGCCTCGACAAGGGGGCCGTGATGTGCCATTGCGAGCGGGATTCTGCGGGATCCGCAAAGATCTGGAATGATACAGGGAGAGACTCGCTCGGCCAGCTGCGCAAGGGTAAGGCTCACAGAAGTAGGGAGTGGACCCGGTCGCAGAATAGGTCGCGTACGTGTAAGGAAAGGGGAGGGAGGCCGCGTGGCCTTTGGGGAAGCTGCGGGGCATTGCCCCGGTCGAGTCCCTCGGGACATCTGTTAAAATTGGAACGAAATATCTCCCTCGGCCTTTGACTAAGATTACAGTTTAACATCTGATCCGTGGTCCATCGGGGGAACGCTACAGAGACGATTAGCACGGTCTTTGCGCAAGGGACGGCCGGTAAAGAAGAGCTCGGCTCGGCCCGGCGCCAGGGTGACACGCATAAGATGGAGGAGTCCGACAGCCGAGCGCCTTTGGCACTTTCGGCACTTGGCTGCTTGTCGGGCCGCGTAGCACCGGAGGGCCGCGGTGACGCCAACAGCGAGGGAGGACGGAGACGAAGGAGGATTGACAGGTGAATCCGGACGGGCCCCGGCGGAAGGTGCATTCGGACACAGTTAGGGGGTAGCGGGGGCTGGACCCGGGCGGCGTTATGCGCTAAGTGCAGCGTAGTGAGGGAGCGATGGACCGAGTGGCCGGGTGCAGGCAGTGAGGCGGAGGGCGACGAGTGAAGGCAAGGAGAAGAAATGAACCTGGAGGCGGGCGGTGCCAGGTGCATTCGAAGTTAAAGACGGCGGGGCAGCGAGCATGGCGCGGCAGGAAGAGACGTAGTGTGTGCAAACCTGGACGAAACTGCTTAGGTGGAGAGTCAAAACTGGGGTTTTCGGGATAGGCAATCCAGAATCTGCAGTTAGATTTGGCAGAAGATTAGTAGAAATGGGGGTTAGTAGAGAAGGTCGTGCGTGGAGCTATGGTGGAAGAAAGAAGGTGAGAGAAACCGCCCGACCCTTGATGGAAACGGGCGGGGTGAGATCCTACTCGGGGGTTCTATGGCAAGGCGAGCACTATGGTGCGGCCGAAATTGGAAGCAAGGTAGCGGTAATGACCCTATGAGGGATATAGGTTGCGTGTGACACCATCAACGATGAGTGGGAGATAGCTACAACGGAGAGAGAAACGTATAGTTGCCCGATTCCCAACAGAATCGGGCCAGGGGAGGCATGAAACGAAGGTTATAAGGTGCTACGAATCTATTGGTAGAACTAGATTCGGGGGAGGGACGTTAGTTTGCGTGCTGTAAGGAAATACGGATGCGCCAGGGAGTAGAGTGGTAAAGTGTCAATGTACCTAACCCGGTTCTTCCGATAGATTCGTTCGACTTCTCTGGCTTGCTTTATCAACGAAAACTGCCCCGCTCTATCTCCCCCTGTGCATGCGCAAGGGCGACTCTTGCGATTGGCAGGCTCCTCGGCCCATACTCATGTCAGGACCCTTCTGTAATTGCTCGTCGTATGGTGTCTCCCCGTAGTCTAACGGAAGATCCATTTAGCTTTGCTCAGCCTAGCGATGGAAGGAGGCGTGAGCACTTCTAAGGTCACGGTTCATCGTCAATCATGCTGCGGCGTAAGGCTTTGTCCTTAACAGTGTGCGGGTGACCCTCCTCAACGTGATTAAGCTTGTATCTGAATGACGCCCATATGCAGTCGAAGTTTAGCAAGAGATTCGTCATGGTTTTGCTCGTCCTGTCGATGGAAGTAGCATGAGGCCGGCCTCGCTGTGCACAAAGAGGGAGCTGAACCCGGTCGTGTTAGCCACCGAGAGTATTCGTGTAGGAGAGAGAGAGAGAGAGAGAGAGAGAGAGAGAGAGAGAGAGA